GGGGAGGGTTGAGATCTCAAAAAACATGTTTAACACCGCCGCATTTTTGCGCCTGTCCCAAGTCAGGAGCCTCTGGCCTTTGTAAGTCTGGTTTGATTTCTAATTTTATTTTCTTGTGTATATTTCGGATTTTAGTATGACGTCCATTATCACTGAACTAGTATACATTTTTTAGGGGCCAGCTGAAGAACGCCTCCGGGTGCGGGTGTTTCTTGCTGCATTGAAAACCCATTGGTGGCCTTCGGCTGTTGTCTGCTCTTTGGTCGGGTTGTTGTCTCTTTGACACATTCCCCATTTCCATTCTCAATTTTATTTTTTACAGAGTTTGTCATTAGTGCTTCGTGGAGACAGAAGAGTGCCTCCCCGTGCTTCAGGTTTATGCTCTTATAATATACTAGATAATGGAGTGTGTGTCCGAGCGAGAACTTCTCGATGTTCATTACTCTAGGAATATTTATCAAAATATAATATTTCAATATTCAGCTATTTAGTCAGACGTCAATCGCTACCCTGATATACCCTGTCTTTTGTTTTGTCCTCTGGTTTTGTAGTTTATATATTTTGTCGGGTACTTTATGATGGATAGCGTTTGACGTCTTTTGACAACCGTTTTATCCTTTTCACATTATTCAATTCCTTGTGTGCTGGTTCATATTCCGGACGCCAGTCTTTGCTCCTTTCAAATAAAATTCACTAAAAACAAAAATGAAGCTTAGAAATGGAAAAATATCAAATACTAAACTCGTTCAAAGTGTATCTACACGTCTCAATCTTCAAAATCGTTTATCTAAAAATACTACCATCGCTAACATTTTTAACAATAAAAATCGTGGTTACCCTTCTATCGATAAGTGTCATGCCATAAAATGACTTACATGTCCCCGTCTTTCAACCAACAATACGGTAAGGTCCACGTTTAATGGTCGCACATTTTCCTTAAATTTTGAAACTGATATAACTTGAAAAACAAACAGTATTATCTATTTACTCACATGAAACAAACCGGGATGGGGTATTCAGTACGTAGGTGAAACTGGACGCCATTTATCTCAACGCACGCAAGAACACCTTTATCGTTTTAAAAAACCCAATAAATTCAAAAGTATCATTTATCAACACCTTAAGAAGCACAATCATCCTCTTAAATATTTAACAGTTTAACCTTTAAAAGTAGTAAATAAGCAGACTGATGAATCTCATTCAAAGTTTGTACGATCACGGAAAATAATTGAATTAAATTGGATTAAAAAATTACAGACAGTCTTTCCTCTCGGCCTTATTGATAATATCATGGGAATTAGTAATATATCAAGAACCGATTCTGTTAATATTTTGGATATAGTTTCAAAAACTGCTCGTAAAAACCGTTCTCATGGGCGAAGAAAAAATCGCAATCAAAGAAAATTTCGAACCAACCATACAAATATTTCGGACCTAATTTCTATTTCAAAAAACAACGGCAGACATTATCTGTTAACCAAGCTATGTTCTTTACCTGTTAACAAATTACATAACATTTTAGAGGATTGCAACACAATTCCATATTGCAGTCCTAAGTATGAAATCGTTCAAATTATAATGGCATATTGTTATTCTAAACTGTTTCCCAAAATTGATCGCCCTGGTAATCATAAAATCATTTTATTAAAATCAAGTATGTCAATAAAGGTTTTGATTTTGTAAATATTGCCGGTATTTTTGATAATCATTCTGTTAAAGAACAAATTCCTGGATATTTTGATAATACTGAACTCCCTCTTATTTGTTATGTTTACAAAAAATCTACTCGGAAATATGTGTTTAATTATAGCCAAGTGTGTAAAGATGTAAACATCAGTGACAATACACCTACGTCATGTAATTGCAGTAATTCCGAATACATTTATGGCCCAAGTTCCCATGTTATAACATGAGACCTTAACATCGTTCGTGACCGAGAGTTGAAATCATTCCTCAGTAAATGACCAAAATTTTGTCCCCCGTCAATTATTAATTGAAATGAGTGTCGTAATACCATCTGAGTGCCGTAATACCATCCACGACTCACTCTGTACTTACTGTTCGAAATGGGATAAAACGATAAAAAGCTGACAAGAAATCTTTGGACTTTTTTTTTAATTCAGTAATGAACATAGTTGATATACGTATACAACATTTTAAAGAACACTTTACTTTTAACAACAACCATAAAAACCCTATTTCTCGTATCAAACATCAACTAAAAGAACTCGCCAAGGAATTTGTTTTTGTCCCGGCTGATAAAGCTGCTAATAATATCATTATTGTTTGACGTAAATTTTACATTGAAATTCTGCAAAAAGAAATCACGAATTCACCAACATTCCAACTGACTCCATTTTCGGAAAACAACATCTGTAACAAACATAATCTTTTAGCTACTTCTTTACAAGCAGAACCAAATACAATGAAAGTTCCAACTATGTACTGGCTTCCGAAGCTACACAAAACACCTTACAAATATAGATTTATTTCGTCTTCAAGCCATTGTTCCACTACTAAATTATCTATTCTACTTACTAGTATACTTGGTACAACCAAAAACCTAATAATAAATTGTTCTAATAAGCCCTTTGAAAATAGTGGAATTAATTACTGTTGGAGTGTCAAAAATTCGTTGGAAGTACTTGATAAATTGCATGCTTATATTGGTGATTTTGAATCTGTCCAAATTTTTTTATTTTTCTACCCTATAAACTACTTTGCCTTATATTCTTATTAAGAAAAAATTCACACACCTAATTAAATGGGCATTTAAAAAGAAAGAATGCGATTACATATGTTCAAACTCTTTTAGGTCATTTTTTAGTAACAACAAACAAAAGAACTATGTCAATTGGACATGCTTTGATACTATAACTGCCCTAGAATTTTTATTAGATAACATTTTTATTCGCTTTAGAGATTCCGTATATCGTCAAGTTATCGGAATTCCAATGGGTACTAACTGTGCACCACTTATTGAGGACCTGTTTCTGTATTGTTATGAGTTACATTTTATGACTAAAATCATCAAAGACCCATCAAAACAACATCTGAAACAAAAATTTAACTATACTTTTAGATATTTGGATGATTTGGCTCTCAATAATGACAACTTCAGTATGTAAACTAAAGAAATTTATCCTGTTGAACTAATTTTAAATAAAGCTAATACTAACAATGAACACTGCCCTTTCCTAGATCTTGATATCTATATCATTAACGGGAAACTCAATACCAAAATTTATGATAAAAGATACTGTGGATTCATTTATTTTCGTGGGTACCAATTTTCGTGGATGGATGAAAACCTGCATTTTCGTGGATATTTAATTTCGTGATTTTTCATTTCTATCGATAATTATCCATTTTTAGATGGTGACGTTCTCAACTTGTAAGATTCGCTCGTGTATGTAACAACGAATTAGATTTTAGCGAGAGAAATGTGTGTATTACTGAAAAAAGTATTACACCAGGGTTTTCGATATCACAAACTTGTCAAAACATTTACTAAATTTTACATGTATCATCGGTACAATGACATCATTCGTAAATATAATTCAACCTGCTGACATCTTATACGTTCAGGTATTTCACATCCAATTTTTTAATGGTAATATTCTTTACAAAGCACAAAAATGTCGGCATTCACCTCAAAAGCTAACAAAACCTTTAAACCGACTTATTAAGAAGGGATATAGTTACGATACTGTTGTCAGGTCATTAAAGATTGCATATTTTGGCTTTAATATTGATTCACTTATAGGGTCTTTGCATCGGAAATAAACACATTTATTCTAAAACCAGTTTTTGGCATGATACGGGTTATGTTCTTCTCATATATTTTATGAGGGTATAATACTAAACTCTAACGGGAAGGATTGTACTTGATATTCATATGATGAAGACATAATCTTTCAATCAGTTTAATTGGGGTCTGGAGCTGGCATGTCAGTAACTGCTAGTAGTCCTTTGTTAAGTTATGTATCATTGTCATTTTGTTTAGTTTCTTTTGTTACCTATTCTGACATCGGACTCGGACTTCTTTTGAACTGAGTTTTACTGTCCGTAACGTTGTGGGTTTGTTTTTTCTACACTGGCTAAAGGTATAGGGGAGGGTAAAGATCTAAAAAAACCTGTTTAACCCCGCCGCATTTTTGCGCCTGTCCCAAGTCAGGAGCCTCTGGCCTTTGTTAGTCTAGAGTTTAGTATGATGTCCATTAGCACTGAACTAGTATACATTTTTTTAGGGGCCAGCTGAAGCACGCCTCCGGGTGCGGTAGTTTGTCGCTGCATTGAAGACCCATTGGTGGCCTTCGGCTGTTGTCTGCTCTTTGGTCGGGTTGTTGTCTCTTTGACACATTCCCCATTTCCCATTCTCAATCTTATATACAGTAAAAAGGTAACTAGATGATATATTCACCTTTAATGATGTAAAACTGCAAAACGATAACCAGATAACTAGAAAAAAAACCAATCAAGCATAGCCGATACATTTTCAAGGGCGTTCACTCTTGATGCGACGTTAAGGGTTTATATTTTTCGTTTTTTCAATACCTTCATTGTTTATCTAAACATGTTAAACGTAGGGAAGCCTGTTTTGGTATTAATAAATAAATATTTAAACGTGTACATTAAAAAACTGTCAAACATATTCAAAGTGCATGACATAACAACAACATACACACAATTGTTTCCCTTTTTTCAAGTGTATGCAATATACTTGCAACCCTTTACTTCCAGTCTGATCAATAAATCATTAAGTCGTTTTTAGTTTTTCGTCTCCATGAACGTTTGTGGGCTTTGTGTTGTTTCTTTATATTGCAAAATATTATTTCGTCATGTTTGTCTTAAGCAATTGTGTTGTCTATGGTCAAACTTTTGACTCATTGCCTTATTTATCCGCTCGCTATTTGTTTCCTCTTTTTACATGTCCTACTTTTACATACTTTACGTATTTTTAAACATTGGTCCTGATGAATTTTATATATTTTAGATCAAGCATGATAAGTTGCTGGACTTGTTAAACTCCGCTGAGGTATGAAATAAATATGTTCTAAGGCAAGACTAATACATCAGTTTCATATAATAATAGTTAGTAGCTAACTTAATAACACCATGTTTTTTACATTTCCCAGACTGAAGGAAACTCGAATTTCCATTATTTTTATTTCAAGATCATGCCAATGAGTATATTGTCAATGCTTAGCGAAGAAAGACCTTGGATAGGACAATTTTCCATGTTTTAACTTGTAAATATATGTGTATCATGGTAATGTCAAATTTACCATTCTGATATTAAAATTTATGGTCGTCGTGTAATGGAAACAATGTAAATCATATCAACTTATGCATCGAGAACACATTTTATAAAAAGCAAGAACTTTCGCTTACGAGTACATTAATTCCACCTAATTTTGAAATTCTGTTTAGATGCGTGAATTTCGCGTACAGACAATGGTGTTTGCTTCGAGTACATGTTATATATTTTAGTTTATGATGTTCGCATTTTTTTTTAGTTAAAGATTTGGTTATAAAAGAGATATATCATTTTATCATTTGAACTAAAAAAATCAAAGGTATCGTGTCTTATCTTTTCTGTTTTTGTTTGTATAGATTGAAGTCCTTTTAGTTCTGATAGCTCCTCAACTGTTTCGGTTGTTAAGCATGTTAAATATCTCTTCCATTCAAATATTCAGCTTCTAGTGATTTTGATGAGTTGAATCCAGACAGCGCTACGGACGCATGACATTTTTTAAAACTTTGTCATATGTAGTGAACGATTTTGTTTTTATACTATCTTTTTACTTGTTGAAACCACAATGCTGTTTGACAAAACTAAGTTCGACTTATTGTTATTGCATTGAGTTACACACGTTTTACCATAAGTAATTCAGAAACTGTCGTTCGTCTTAGGCACAAAAGCTTCTCTCCGTTTTTCGTGGGGTTCTATGAAAGAACTAATGATGTTTTGAATTATTACCTTACCATCTTCTTTCCCCCGGTGTTATTCTTTTTCAGTTAAGTGGTTGCAGCAATATTTTAAACACGCATTTCGAAATTTTTTATATGAATTAAACAGGATTGGTCTCAATATCGCAAAAATTAAAATCGCATTTTACTCCAAAATGACAAAATCCCAATAATAATTGTACGCAATAATTTCTGAATTTACAGTATTTAAATGTTAATTCTTATTAATTTATGTCTTTCAGATCCCAACACACATGTGTAAAGAACTTTTTAATGAGTTTGAGGTATGTAAAAAGCTCTCAAATTACACCTGTTTATCTGTTTAATTATTTAAACATAAATACCATAGAAGGTGTTATACCACCAAATAATAGTACGTCACATCCGATTGCATACGAAAATTGGTCGAAAAAAATATTCCCTTGAATTTGACAGTTGTAGGTAAATAATCCAACATTTCATTGCAGTAAAACAGATCTTGGTTATAAACACATATCTTGGGTATTTCAAAGTTCCATAATTTTTATTTGTGGTTTCTATAGAATATTTTATAAAACTTGAGGTTACATGGTTTCTAAAGCTTGTACACAGGTTAAAAAAGGGGAAACATTTGATTGGTTAACTTTCAGCGATAGTTATTTTCTTATATGCAATGAAATGTAATATGAATTTGTTCTATAGAACTGGACAGGTTTAGCAAGCTATAATACCAGATTTAATCCACAATTTTTCACATAAGAATGTCTGTACCAAGCCAGGAATATGACGATTGTTTTCCATTCATTTGATGTGTTGAGCTTTGAGTTTTGCCATTCCATTAGGGACTTTCTGTGTGTTTTTTTGTTGTTTCACTTTTTTAAAGTTACCTTGAATGATTTATTCTTATTTAGTTTTTCAATGAGACATTTAAGTTAGGATGTGGTAGTATCAAATTGTTTCTTTTGACATGGTCATTTGTGTACGATTTCATTATAACTAGTTTTTGTCTTGTGTTTGTTCCTCAACAAATTTCGATTATATAATATACATAGCGGAACCATAACAATGTTTTTACCTGTGTATAATATGACGTATTTTTTTTTCAAAGTTGATGATTTTCTGAAATTGTTTCGCATTTCACAGCGGTATAATACTCTTGCTTTAATTATTCATCCCTTAATTTATTTAACTTTGTATTTAGATTGTATCATAGATCAAATTTATTCGTTCAGTGTATGTTCATTTGTGTTACTACTTTTTTTGATTGAGTAAAGCCATTCCAATTGATATCTTATAGTGTGTTTTCTATGTTGTGATGTTACACTATTGTTTCAGAAAAGGGAGACGGTTTGGTACCATTAAAACGTTTAATCCCGCTGCAATTGTTTGCACCTGTCCTAAGTCAGGAATCTGATGTTTAGTAGTTGTCGTTTGTTGATGTGGTTCATTAGTGTTTCTCGTTTCCCGTTTTTTATATAGATAAGACCGTTGGTTTACCGTTTGAATGGTTTTACACTAAAAGTCTAGTATTTTTTTTGGGCTCTTTATAGCTTGCTGTTTGATGTGAGCCAAGGCTCTGTGTTGAAGACCGTACCTTGACCTATAATGGTTTACTTGTATAACTTGTGACTTGGATGGAGAGTTGTCTAATTGGCACTCATACCACATCTTCCTATATCTATTAACAACTGGCATGTAATGTTCAGGTTTGTCTAGCTATCCATTAAGGTTTAGTTGTATATTCTTACTGTTTGTTTTTAAAGAAAGGTGTTTGTTTTATCAGGTATAAGGACTTTTGAATTCCTCTTTGATTAAGGTATTCTTTTTATTTTTTGTTTTTTTTTTTTGGGGGGGGGGGGGGGTTCTATAATTTGTTTTGGTAAGATGCACATTAAAAGCTTTACAGACCTCTAAACAGTATCGTTGTCAAGTAATTGAAGATGGATTTTTTGGAACTAATATTGACTCACTCATAGGGTCTTTGCGACGGAAATAAACAAATCTATTATAAAACCAGTTATTGGCATACTACGGGTTATGTTCTTCAAGTATATCTTTTGATAGTATGATACTAAACACCTCACGGGAAGTATTGATACCTGATTTTCATATGATGAAGACATACTCTGTAAATCAGTATATAGAGGTCTTGAGCTGACATGTAAGTAACTGACAGTAGTACGTTGTTAATTTGTGTTCTTCATGTTCATGTTGCTAAGTTTCTTCTGCTACCTTACTCAACATCGCACTCGGACATCATTTAACATAAGTTTTACTGTGCGTATTGATGTGTTTTTTATTCCAAATTGGCTATAGGTATAGGTGGGGGGGGGGGGGGGGGCTTGAGATATCACTAAACATGTTTAACCCCGTCTCAAGTTTGCGCCTGTTCCACGTCAGGGCCATGTAGCCTTTGTTGGTCTTATTTGTTTTTTTGATTTATTTATATGTTTCGGAGTTTAGTGTGACGTCTATTTTCGCTGAACTGGTTTACATTTTAAATTTGCCTGATGATGCCAACCGTTGGTGGCCTTCGGCTTCTGCTCCTTGGTCCGGTTGTTGCCACTTTGACACATTTCCTTTTTGCATATTCTATTTTATGTTTAATGAAAACCCTTAAATAAGACAATTGTCCTTGGTTAAGCAAGAAATCAAAGTTATACAGTGGTAGTGTCAAATTGACTGTTCCGAGATGAACAAAACTAAGAGCACATTGGAATGTAGGCTTGATGTTTACTTTCTTTACAGATGTGTGGATCTCGGATATAACTAAAATTGTGTGCCTGGTTGTACCTTTTTTGTTATTATCGCTCTTTTACGAAATTTTCTTTTGATCTTGCCGACTGATAATTTTCTTTCTCAGCGAAGTCGAGTGATTTGAAAAATTATCGCTAAAAACTAAGGATGCACGCTCCGCTTGTCAATGAACAATGAACAACGTCGTCATAGGTAAAATAGCGATAAACAGATTATCATTGGTCATCTCAACTCGATTGCTTTTCTCAATTTTGCCGTATCGGCTCAAGCGAGAAAATCAATCTTGTTGAGATGACCAACGATAATCTATAATTATATGTAAATTAAAGAAATGTCAAAATGACTATTTAATCATCTGAAATTCTAATTGTTTCAAGTAAAATATTTCTTATCCGGTGAGGTAAAGTTAGCGCATTTTAGTAATGAGTTGAACTAAAGAATCAAGTGTTTTATGTTTATATATTTGTATGACGAAACAATATATAGGGAACAATAATGTTGCATTGTAATGTTTAATTTGTAGTGACAACAATACTGTCAAAATTTTTCTTAATTTTTTCACGTCTGATTTTGACCTATCGCCGTTTGTGGATGCAGTGAGTGATTTTTCCCATTTATTGAGCAGAATCTGCCTATCTATTCAGAGCACAAGGGTTGCTGTCGTTTTTATTTCGATGTGGATCTTGTACCTCAATACATTGCTATTTGTCACGATTTTGATTCTGTGTGAATGTATTTTCTACCATGATACTCTATGTTTAAAAAGCCGTATGACATCCGCTTTTGCTATCTTCAAGTTTGCGTGGTCTCTCTAGATCTCTGTAAACCTCCTACAGAATTGAAAAAAAAAGGAATTAAGAAATTTGTTTCTTATGCACATGAATTAAACAAAATCATATATTTTCAATTAAATATTGTTGAATTTTTGTCTTTCAGGTCTCTTTGGAAGAGTGTAGACAGATTTTTAGGAAATTAGTGGTATGTTCCGTGTTTTGATAATACTCCTATTCGCCTGTTTTATTTTTAGATTAAAAATATCATATAGGGATCATAAATGTAGCGTTAGCTATTAACCATGCTAAAAGTATCTAGTATATTGACTTGACGAGAAGATTTTTCAAAGACAGTTCCACTGATCATGCTGGTCGAAAAAAAAAAACACATCGAACAATATACCTCAAACGTGTAAACTCTTTTTTTGTGTACTGATTTGAAATGTCAACTCGCTGAACAATTACTAATCACGTATTCGTTGGTTTTATCAACTGATACTCGAATATTCGTCGGGACTTTAATGCAACACGGAAACACATACAGATACTTTACAGTTTCATGATTTTGTGGTTTTTAATTCAACGGACGAAAAACAACCATCATCATTAGTGTCTTAGACAAGGAATTACACATTATGATTAATTACTCATTATCTACAAGTACTAGTTAAGTATTTGCAACTTTGTAAATTTAGTCTTGCAGACGAAACGCTTTGCTCTGACGGTACCGATCACCGGAGTTCAACAAATTTGTGAGCGCTCAACACTCCTCTAACCTGAGAGAGTGACCTAACAGTACGACATAAGTACAAACTATATGATTGGTTGATGATGTCATCAGATCGATACAGTAAAAAACATCAAACAAAAACTAAAACAGGACGTGGCATGGTACAAATCAATCACTCATCCATTACATAAACACAAACAAAGTACAAATATAATAGAACATGCCGTTACTGACAACTAGTTCAACGTCAATAATAACTAATAAAAAATCATGAATGGAAGACTAAAATATCAATCAGTATACATCCAACATCAAGTGTATTTTGGACTCCAAATGATATAGTGTCACACTCGCTTTAGATATTTTGTAATTTAATAACAGGCATTTGACCCAGTTTGCATATAATTGATGTAAAACATTGTTTTTAAACATAGATTGAAACAAATCTAAAGTGTGAAAATAAAAAAAAGATGTTTATTTCGTTGATTGCTGTTAATGTGATTGCCATGAGACCTTTGCTTGTGTTGTCTTTTATCACCAATAGTCATAAGACCAATAAAGTTTTAGATATGTTTCCTTGGCTATGATATTTTCATATAAACCTAGTTGAAACGCTGTCTGTGGTCGTTAATTCAAGAAAGTTATCAATTTTTTCGGGAATCTTCAAACTGTTTATGTCATTGTCCTAGTTGTTTATGGACGGCTTATGTGGTTAGCATTTCATGTATTTACTGATGTGTTTGTTTTTTCTAAGTGTTTGTAAATTAAACTTTTGAATTTCTTGGGGTCTTTGGAATCAGTCTATATCCTTGTGCTCGTTTGAAACATTCACGCCAAGTTTATCCTACATATTGATTACTACATTCAATTCATGAAATGTCATATGAAAAGTAGAGAGACAAACACTTCTTATTAAGTGATGCAAAGTTAGCGCATTTTAGTTGTAACTTAAAATAAAGAATTAGATGTTTCAAATCTTGATCTAACTTTATGAAAGTGTATGACGTAACATAATACAATGCTAACTCTGAACCAACACAATACCGTTACAGTACATATATTGCCGTATTCTTCTTGCAATGAGTTCCGTAGTTTTTGTCACTGCTGAAGCGAATACTGCTTATCTTAGAGTACATTAATCCCACTCCCCCTAGTTTTTTCATCTTTTTCGACATGTTTTTTTTTCTGTTTTATAGAACTGATAAATGTTTCTATTGCCCCCGTATTATCTTCTTTTCCCCGTTGTCTTTCGATTTTTAGTATAGCATTACAAAATAAATAATGACTTTTATTACTCTATTTACATGTATATGAAACAGACAAATTCAATCGTACTTGAAAGGTTGGTCTTCATGAATTTGTGTTTTTCAGATCCTAAACAGCCTAACGTATAAACTTGGTTTCGATACCTATACTGAAAAGGTATGTAAAGTGTTCGGATACTACACCTATTCATCTGTTATATTATTAAACCATAAATGTCAACATTGTTATTGTTAATTCTGTGTTAGTTAAATTATTGTCAACATGAGCATGGGCTGAAAATGTACTTTTCTTTAAAGTAAATGATTTATTATACAGTAAAGCAAAGTTAGCGCATTTCAGTCATAACTGGAACTAAACAATAAGATTAATTGAGTTTTTATCTTACTTTGTGAGTAAACGACGAAATATAATATAGGGAACGATGCTATTGCATTGGAATTTTAAGTTTAAAACTGGTCCAGTCCTGGGAATGAGCTAAAAGAGAAGAAGTCCAACAGTACACTTTTTGTCAGAATGGGATCAAGCAATCAGGTTTCTGATAAAACGTAGAATCAAAAAGTTGAAACGTGAAATATTTGTAATCTCTTCTTGATGAATTTATACTCTTCTTCACATGGACAAAGCTTCAAATGATATTGTGTTTGTATGTTAATCGTACTACTACGTGTGTCTTGTGATAGAATTCGGAATAAATGAGCGCCAACTGAAGGTAATCCCACGTACAGAAATATGTCATTTCACAAGGATGATATTTAAACGAATCATAAGTCCTTCATAGCTTCATAGTTTTGGTGGGGGTTGTGTTGCTTAGTCTTTAGATTTCTATGTTGTGTCTTGTGTACTATTATTTGTCTGTTTGTCTTCTTTTTTTTTTAGCCATGGCATTGTCAGTTTATTTTCAATCTATAAGTTTGACTGTCCCTTTGGTATCTTGCGCCCCTCTTTTGCAATGAACATACCATTCAACAGCAAACTTAGTGATCATTATAATTCAGTTTCCTATGAACAACATATTTTTTTTGATTTGAAGGAAGTCCTTTTCACAAATTGTTGACATTCCTATGGCAACGAACTCTGCGCCTACCGTTGCTGACCTCTTTTTACTTTCGTATGTCTCAGAGTTCATTCAGATACTTGTCAAAAACAAAAATATAAAGTAAAGCCAGATAATATAATGTACATTCAGATATATTGTCATTACTGATGATGTTCTTCCCATTGATTTTGCTAATGCTAAATTTTCCAGTCATGTATCCTCTAGAGCTAGACATAAAAACAAAATACACATCTTCCTTCGACTAATTTTCAAAAACGTATAACTCGAATTTGACATAAGTGGTCATATCAGTACTAGGATCTATGACAAACGATCGAGAGGACTTTAATTTTGAATTTATAAATTTCGCACACCTTAGCAGTTAAACACCAATTTCACTTGAATATATGGCAAATCCCTTTTCAAATTCATTTGGTAATTAAGAGCTTGCAGCTGTTATTCAGACTTTATAAAACGTCACCAGTGTCTGAACAGAACGTTGATGAACCAGGGTTATGTCAGAGAAATGTTCGTCCCTTTTCTAAAAAAGTTCAACGAAAGATATCAAGATATTGTTGATAAATATTTTTTATGAACTACACAAATAATACATAATGGTTCTAATGTATAGATTATAGGTACTGACGTTTTTAACCATTGAAGTGTTCCTTCAATTTGTCTATGTATATTTTTAACATTAACTGTTTAGTCCATTTTTGGTAATATTCTAATTGGTATGTCCAGGCTCTTATGCATTCCGCCATTGTTATTGTACTTTTGTGCTTTTGTGTATTCTTTTCTTTCATTTCTGCTGTTATTCTTTGTTTGTTGAGTGTCTTTATGATATTTAGTTTGTTGAAATATATAGCTGTTTTTTTTTTATAGTTATTAATATTATAACACAATGTTGACTGCTGCATCCTAATTTTTAACCTTTTTACTTATTACATCTCTTTGTTATACTCACACTTTATTGTCAATTTACTGGAATTATATTCGACTGGCAAACAAATGAGGAGTTTAGCTAGCTATAACACCATAATTAATCCCCCATTTTCTACATACGGAAATGCCTGTATTAAGAGTCAAGAATATGACAGTTTCTTTAATGTGTTTGAGCTTTTAACTTTGCCATATGACTTTTATTTTGAATTTACCTTGGAGTCTCATAATTTGTTATTTTACTTTGTTCTTGATTCTGACAATACTGAGCGCACAAGCTCCTCTCATGTTTTTTTCATTAGATTAATAAAACCTAGACTATTGCGTTCTCTCAGGTATTTTTTTTTTGTTGCTACCTTTTCTGACACAGAGCGTTTTGTTGTATAGAACTGAAAGTATTCTCTATTGCCATCTTCTTAGCTTCTTTCACCACTTTTTTCATATTTCAGTAAAGCGCTAGCATCATTTATAAAAAGTATAATCACAAAAATACCGAACTCTACGATAATGATGAGTAAATGATGATATTATTTTCTCTATTCATATGAAATAAAACAATTCCAAATTACTAATTGAAATATTCATGTTCATTATTTTGTGTCTTACAGATGCATATGGATTTGTTTGATACTGCAAAGGTTTGTATTGATTCTACACATATTCATCTGTTTTAAATTTAGACCATACATACCTTATCTGGATAATGAACTTGTCCCTGGTTCATTGATCATAGCAATCAATATCTTTCATAATAACTTTTTGGTCATTTCCGGGTAAATATTACACATGTTTTTCGATAATATACCTTAAATGAAATACTTCTTTTCATTAGACATCTAATTTTCAAGTTGTTGATTCTGATGTACTGATATATCAATGTTTTTCGGTAAAACATTTCCATGGTTTGGTCATACATACCGATGGTTTAAGGATCTTAGTTCACATAAATATAAACTCTGTGGTGTGGTATCCTGGGTGTATCCTGAACACATTAACTAAACTCTACTAATTTGCCATTGATACAAATCAATGTCTAAATAATGATTAAATCGGTATTTGATTACACGCAGGCGAAAGTCAATGTTGACACTGCTTAGGACAAATGAACAAAAAAGTAAATATTAAGAAAAATGAACTGCATTTGAAATATTCTAGGAAATACCATATGTATGAAATAAAAGGATTATAGCATGATCAATAATTTGATACTTTTCTAATTTATTCGTCCAAAAATTCAAATATTTATCAGTTTTTAAAAGAACTAAATGAATTTACTACCCCTTTCAGACTCAATAAAATCATCACACACATCATGGACTTGAAATTGTCGTTCCTAAATAAGTTGACTCTTCAAGAAAAAATTAATAAATATGTGGTTGTTTGATTGTTTGATTGCTGTTTGCTTTTCGTTCAGTGGCAAATATATAATTATTGTTCAGGTTGAATACGATTAATACTTGATATAATTAGAGGTTGATCATGGAAAGGTAATATTAACAATGTTACAAGAAAAAAGTCTACATTTGATAGGCTCAGAAATTAAGCCTTGCAATAGGCGAATGTGTTGCAGGCGTTCGTAACTGCATGGAGCGTTGCAAGAGACAACGTGTTTTACTCCAATTATAACAAGACGTAACTTGGAACTTATGCCTCCCACGCAGCCAGACGAAAGCCAAACTTTAGCAAAATATTATATTGCCGGTCGAAAGCAGACCAAGGCATTAACATATTCCTATACATAATTGAGTCTACTCATAGAGTTTTTGATTATGTGATTACTTGGCCGTTTGGATAGTGATTATTTTATTATCAGACCAAATATTTCATGATTATTTGATAATCTACGACTGTTTTTTTTATTATTTGATTATCTTTTTTGAAAAAATATTGTATGATTTTGTAGTTATACGTATTATATTTGCAAAACATTTGTGATTATATGATTACTTTGATACCCCAAAGATTGACCTCATAGTTAAACCGATGTATTTGATAAATTGATGGCAGCAATACCAAGAACAGAACACATAAACACATATATGTGCAGCTAATTTGATAGTGCATAGAAGTTTAAGATTGCATTAATGCTGCATTAACGAACAATTTATTTCCTTCTTTACTACGGAAAAAAAAGTACATCAAGTTAGAATAAAAAACATTTTTATAAGGGACCATCATTTATCTTTCTTGGGTTGGGTTAGATGTGCTTGGGGAAAGGGGAAGGTGTGTTTAAACAACACATTTAAAACATTTTGAAACCTCAATGTATACTTTATTTCATCTTCTCAACTATGTTTGATGGAAACAATAACATTTTTACTTCGATTCTAAAACAAACTCTTGTTTTTTTTTAAGAATTTGGAATCAAAATATGTATCAACAATAAAACATACGACTACAAAAGCGCGTGAATTGTTTCAAACTGATAAAGATAAGCAAAGCAATTCTGCAATGTTTAATACTATTCTATGTAACACAACTCTAACATGTAGTTTACACGTGTGAACAAATCTCCTGTTTAGTGCAAAAACCGGTGAACAGATGAGAACAAATTAAATGTTAAAACAGTGTACATCACATAAAACTTGAGTGATAAGAGGCTACAGTACACAACTTTTGATCTCAACACGACCTAAGTCATGAAACAAGTCATTGATTGACAACATACTTGTTACGATTAAAGGAGGTGTTTTCAACAAACGATCGGAATTACCATGGGAACCAACAGTGCACGCCTTCTTGTCAACTTATTTCATTTTTGAGATAAAGCCGAATTCATGCTAGAACTTCTAATGAAGAACAAAAAAAAGAATGCAGTACCCCTTAACTTCACTTTCCGCTATTTAGACGAAGTACTCTCACTAAATAAAGAAACATTTGGTAACGATGTCAACGTATCTATCTTATCGGATTTAAAATAAAGGATACAACAGATAAGTCAAGTCTGGCTTGTATCTCGACTCACACTTAGAAATTGAAAATGAGGGTCGGTTGAAAACAAATCTTTACGACAAAAGAGATGATGTCAGCTTCCAATTGAGAAATTTCCAATTCTATGTAGCAACATTACAGAATCGCCTACATACGAGGTTTATATCTTCTAGAAGAGAGGGGCGAAAGATACCAGAGGGACAGTCAAGCTCATAGATCGAAAATAAACTGACAACGCAATGGCTAAAAAATAAAAAGACCGACAGACAAATAATAGTACAAAAAAAACAACATAGAAAACTACAGACTGAGCAACACGAACCCCACCAAAAACTGGGGGTGATCTCAGGTGCTCCGGAAGGGTAAGCAGATCCTGCTCCACATGTGGCACCCGTCTAGTTGATACAATATTCCAGAGATTGTATTTCCTTGATTGAGAATTACTGTTCCAAGTGTTGAAATATAAATTATCCTTTCATAAAATTTACTCGTATTGTCATCAGGCGTTGGTTGCATGTTATGGAATACCTATTTCACAGATGAAAACGGACATGTTTTCATTATCGTTACTACAATGCCGTCTCCTTTTCCTCGAATGTGACCGACTGAATTAGACATATTACCGAGTTTGTAAAAAACGAGCAACACGAAGTGTGCCGCATGCATGGTTGGGGTTGTGTTGCTTAGTCTTTAGTTTTTTGTTGTTGTGTTCTTCACTGTTCTTTGTCTGTTTTTCTTTATTTTTTTAAGCCATAGCGTTGTCAGTTTTTTTTTGAATTTTTAGTTTGGATGTCCTTTTGGTATCTTAGATTATCGATGATGTCTCACGCTAAACATGTAATCCACTTACAATTTTATTTTATAATGCCGATCATTGTCATTCATCTTTGTAAATGCCTCATTTGCCTACCACATCGTCAATGAACGAGACTTCTGACCTTGTTATGCAAAAGACCTACTTTGGTGTCATATTTGATTTCATATGCTCCACCTCAGATTATATTTGGGTACGTCAGGGTGTTATAATACAGACATGAACGTAGATAACTTACGTAAGCGTCTTATGGTAATGTCATTAAAAGGATTGCGTTAAATATACTCGTTGATTAAGTAATAAGACAATTTTCCATGCTTTAATACGAAATTACATTTTTTGAAATGGAATCGTCAAACAGATCATTATAAAGCACTAGATTTGTGAATCATTTTTTTATATTGAATTGATATTCTTGAAATGATCATTCTGATGTTTTTAAATTACATGTATCATTTTTTTTTGTCAAGTTAAATCAAATGAGATACTATACGTGGAATGAGTTACACAACTTGTGACATGTGAAATCAGAACTTGCAATCTTTTTGGAGCACACCAGTTGGACTCTTTTTTTCATGTGATTTTTAAAACTCAATTTAATGTTTCGTTTTAGTGTTTTATTGTTTGTATGTTTTGCCATGGTGTTTTCAGTTTTTTAGAACAAAAATATTTTATTGTCCTTATGCTTTCTTCTTTTCCCCGTTGTATTTTGTCATTATGCTTTCTTCTTTTCCCCGTTGTATTTTTGTTTTAGTAAAGCGCTTCCAGGACTAGAAAAGGAATAATGATACTTGTTCTGATGCCTATGAAATAAACTACACTAAAATGTATATGATGATGAATATTTGTCTTTCAGGACTCCATTAAAGTGTATAAAAAGATTATAGATGAAGCAGAGGTATGTATATTTTTGTTGATACACCACCTTAAAGAATCTTTTTTGACAGAGCCTTTTCTACACAAATTGAATATGTAGATACACTATCCCTGTGGTAATAACCAGACAGATTTGGACAACAAATACACAAAAAGACATTACAATTCTGAACCTTTCCTTTTCAACATATGTGTTGAGTTTGTTGGATTGACATTTTTTGAAAGTGCGCATCATCGAGAAAATTTATCACTACATAAATACACTATACTAAGACTTCTTTTCGAAAAAAAGGGGCCTCTGTGGCCGAATGGTCTAGGTAGTTACTAATGTAATCACTAGCCAGCCAACACTGAGGTTGTTAGTTCGAACCCAGCTCGTGCGGGTGCACTCGACTCCAATCTGAATTGACTAGGATTGTCAGTTTTCCTATCGAAGGTTGGTGGTTTTCTCCGGGCACTCCGGCTTCCTCCACCAATAAAAACTGGCCGCCACGAAATAGTTTAAAAGCGTTGCTTAAAATGGCGTTAAAAACACATAAAATTATATAAAATAAAATCATTTCGAAAAAAATAGAGAACAATTCTGGATAAGGGAACTAGGTATTGCAATGCCATATGGTTGCAATGATAACACCAACGGATTCGGAAATGTGTCAAGTCTTGCCTTCAGTGATGTATTGTAATGAGCTTGTTTAGTACTACTGTGAGACACCAACATTACCATCGGCCTAATGTGAAAAAAAGTCTTCTAAATCTAGATCGCCCTTCTGGAATGTTAATGACCTTCTTTCACATCTGCATTATCCGCCATGGTTACATTACATTATAACATTTATTTTGTCACTGCTTGTTAAATTCTAAAATGTTTAACAGATTATGCAATTGACAAAGGATGCATAAATAGATTTTCTCAAATATACAGACTTAAGAGGAAATTTCTTTTTGTTCATTTTACCAATTAAGGAATTGATGCAAACAACATCAGCAACGTTCTAAATCACAAGAAGGTAACATCTAAAAGTCCATTGTATTTTCAAAATAGTATGTTCTTATTGTATTATTCATTTACACCAAACCCATTGCACCCAAAGCGTTGCAGGACCTTGGTTTAGAACAATACTTAAAACTCCTCTGACATATGTCCGTTCCTACTCGCCTAATATTTACAGCCCTCTTGTCATGTTATGACTACAGATCTAAACATAATTAAAAATGAACATCTTCAAAAGGTGATATATTATGATTTCTTATGTTTTGAGAACCCCAAGCCATCAATTGGAACCACCCAGACAGCATTTTTACGTTGGCACAACAAGGGCCCAACGTATTTACATTCATTGTCCCAACGTTATTTTAAGACGTTGGCTCAATGTATAAGTGCAAAGTGGTCCTATGTTGGGCCAACGTGATGGATAAACGTTGGCACAACGATGTAAGGTTTCATATTAGACATAGGTTCAATGTCGGTCCAATGATGGAATAATATAGCCTTCCAAGTAACAACTGAAATAATTCCTGGTTTTTATATCACTTCAAATTCGCGGAAGTATCATTTTTTTTAAATGTTGCAATAATTGCGTTTTACAGATCCACTGTTGTTTCTTACATCCTACCCTGAAATTTAGTATATTGCCACTTTAAATCTTCTCGAACTCGCATGAAATATTTGACACTGGACGTTTAAGCAACCAACAATCGATCAATCTTTCTCTAGGTGTACTTTAGAAAATATACCCATTTTTGAATGAATTCAATCAACATTCAGTCAGCATATACTGAGATGATGTATACGGTCAAACGCTGGGGTGTAACACTAGTTTAAAACTTTTATGTAATTTACTAATTCATGTGATGGTACATGTATTTGAAAATGTTTCACAAATAATTCATGTCTATCTTTGTTTTGAAATATAGAAAAGAGACCAGCAGTATTGTACAAAAGAATCGCGTAAGGCCAGCTTTAAAGGCTGTAGGATGTGGAAGGGACAAACACCCGAGATATTAGCTGATGCAGGATTTTTCTATCTAGGTATATTGTTCACGTTAATAAATATGTGAGGTATTAGCTGTTAAATGTTGAATTGATGGGGTTTATCATACAACTACATGTATGTTTACAAACACGTTGGTCAATTCGATCATTTAGACACAAAAATACAGTAGAAACATGAACTTCAGGATATCAACTTTGTTGACAACTTTCTTTCTTTGCTCAATGACTCCATACTTTATAATTAATTTACAATTATAGGATTAAACGCCTTTTTAAAGGAATTTATTGGTGTATAAACTCGACAATTTCACTCACAAACAAATAACAGTCCGAAGGACTTTTATGATAGTGAGTGACTTGAAACAGTAGATACCTCTATCACACGTAAATTGTATATTGTGTCATTGAATTGGCCTGGCGCATGAATATATTTGTTGGTTACCGCCAAAATTGTACTCCATGAAATTTGCTCTCTGATTTAAATTAACTACAAAAACTCTTTGTTGTTATTCAAAGGAATGTTTTGTGTTTATTATTTAATTAAACGATTAACTCAAAGTGAAAATAAATATTGTAACTTCAAGTGATATTATTGTCGCCATCTTGTTTACCTTAGTTACAAAAAAAAGTTTCGTTCAACGTCGTCCATCGTAAAATAAACAAAGTCAAGAACATCTGAAGTTCTCTCGACCAATCATATCAACGTATTCCCTAATATGCAAATCATATAAGAATTATTAAAAAAATATTTTTGACAGAAAGCATGTAATAAATACTAAATGTACTAATAAACTCTCCCCGAGGTATACGTGGATGTTTCTTAATACGAATTCATTGGCAACAAGAACATAATAAGTACACATTCAATAATGATTTTCACTAAACGCAATCTATTTACAGATATACTATCACACAGTTAAATTGAAATACAAAACTATCGTTATATGATGCATACTTTAAAGTCCTTCATGTTCTATCACACACCAAGGGGTGTCATGAATGATCAAATCGGAGGGAGGTTTTTCTTTAGAGAATCCTGACACCTGAAGTATGTTATACGACAAGAAAAACCTTAAGATATGCATTATCCTACTTATATACGGTAACCATAAAAATATTATATTTCGTAAAGATTTGCAAGATTTCCATCTATTATACAGACCAAACTAAAGTAGGATATTCTTCTCTATTGCGTTCTGGGTTTAATACGTTCTACGGCTCAATTGCAACGAGAAATAAAGCTCACTGAAATAATCTAGATATTAGCTGTAGGAATCGTTATATAGTTACAAAATTATATCACTAAATGCATAAAGCACGACTTAAATGAATTGCCACGGTGTAACAGAACTATAAGTCACTTTGTAAGTAATTGATTTTAAACTTAGTTTATGAAAGGGGGATGTTTTTTGTGTATTTTGTCGTGAGATTTGTATCGCGGAAAAACAAATAAATTTTCAAGCGTTTTTAACGAGCTGTACAAAATTATTGTTTTCACTTTTGAATGACATTTCATAAATCAGAAACTTAGTCAGAATTAAATATCATATTCCCCCAAACAAACCCTATCATAAAGCACTTGGATGTTTTTCCTTATAAATCAAAATAGTTTGTCATTTGATTATTTGATAGAGTAAACGGTATAGATGTAATAAATTCCAAACTGACACGAATAGAGCACGACATCGGCAATGTATGGTCTCCAAAACAGTGTGACTCAGTAAGATTTTTCAAAATCCTATACACTGATGTGTTAAATCTGGTTTGTTTTATTAGTGCTATGAAGAGTTTTGCATTATCATATTCATCTCAAATATCGTCCCTTCATTGATAGAGTAACTAAAATTTCACATTATTTGTTGTGAACGTTAAATTGTGTGTCCACGACGATTTTTGGTAATTCAGTCTAAAAAACAGAGGACATGATTGTTTATGTCTTTATCCACAGCACACGATAACTATCAAACGAATTAAATGTTTAGGTAAATTAAAGTTTGCATTGTAATCAAGGAAAATAATGACCTTACACAGGTCATTATTGTATGACTTTAATCAAAGTTCACTGAAGCTTGGTATAGTCCGGTTGATTCTTTAAAAAAATAGCGGTCGTTCTGAAAGAAAAAGAAAAAAAACCCACATAGGTATATAAATGTTTATAATAGTATGATAAACAAAATATAACACTTTAAAACTTGTGTGTATCCAGAGCGCTATTCTCGATTTACCTTTATCAGGTACGTTCACATTCATTAACTTAAAGCCAAGGATGAACATATAAAAGTACCTAAACATATCAAGAGATAATGACCGAACAGAAAAATCAATCTAAGGTTACGGTGACCTATAGTTGTTAATTTCCTAGTTCATGTATTGCCTAGCAACAAGCATGTAATAAGAAATGAGAAAAGAAAATGCACCCTAATCATTAGAAATTTTGACCCCTCAAACATCAGTGGATACATAATTGCCATTTGTGACAACATTTGTTCAGACAAGCCACATTTTGATGGTAAGTACAATGGTATATACATGTCAGTGATACATGCGTCAATATCTTTATATATAATATACAAACTCTGAAAGCTTCATCAGATCACAATACTTTTTTCTAATAATTGTTTTCATAATACAGATATTCAACTCATACATGTGTAACAATATTTGTTTTGCTATCAAAAGGAATGTTTTATTTGACATATGTATTTATATCTTGGTATTGAAGACAACACTAACAAAATACTTGAGAGTCATGCATGCGTGTTCAGCTACCAGTAATTTGAACAGTGATCAAGCAAATATGTTGTTGACTTAACCAATCAGAAAAATTAAGAATTCCATTTTATTTAAAGATTAGAAATCAAAATCTTAAAAGGTAACATTCATACATAAAATCAGCATAAAAATCCGAGGAGATTTTGACATTACACTTGATACATAAAGTAAAATCTTCAAAGGCTCGGTAAACGTTGAATTGGAAAAAAAAAGTTATCGAACAATAAAGTTAAACGTTTCAGTACTTAGCTATTAGTTGATACGATGTACTTAACTGTATGTCTTTGATTTTAAATACAAACAGAAATATTCTGGAAGATATAATCTAAACATCCATCCTATTACAAGATAATGCTTACAAAAACCAACAATAATATAAAGATAGTACTTAGATAGTGATTATAAAATTTAGCGTCTGCTGACATGGCCATTTTATAGTCTAAGGTAAGGCAACCCACATTTCGTATTTTAATGTTGATATGTCAACTCGTTCCAAGAGTAATCGTCTCATACTAAATATTTGCTGCTCTTCCTTATAAACTTGGCTACAGTTATTTTCACCATACAATTTTCACTCATGCACACAAAAATCATGAGAGAAACTAAAGAAGGTTTATAGAAAGAAAGTAAAATGTGTCAAAATATTTTATTTTTCTTAATTCTCAACTGTGAGCCAAAGTGTTTTATATTTTGTACATTTCAAACAGTCATACTCAATCATTGATTTTCATTGTTACTAACCATTTTTTCCATGACGTCATTTTATTGTTTTTACTGTAGATTGGTTTTATTACTAATCGGTTGACCACTGTCATAACAATGCAAAGGTTAATAACTCTGTTCATGATATCATTAAACCATGGGTGTTGACATCTAACAATACTTTAGTTATACTCTTAAAGCGCTTAATTTTCAATACATGTCAATAAACTGGATTTCTGTCTCATTGATAATTAGCTTTTGTAATCTATGAAATATATATTATGTCTTTGTTTGTTCATGTTCTATTCTGCAATTTGTATGAAATTGTTTTAGTCTGGGTGTTATTTATTTTTAGGAAAATTATGTTCTACATTTGAACGTTCTTGAGTATGAGTATATAGGAATATCGAAATATAAAATGACTAGAAAAAAAAAAAGAAATAAAAGCTTTTTTTTAAAATCATAAAAAAGGGTGTATTCCGGATGACAGTTTTAAACACTGACCTATTTTTAACATTGACGATTGTGACTATAACACAAAAGGTGTAATCACTATACCATCAATGAATTGTACATACCAGTACAATTCCTTGATAAAACAAACATCAATATGCCCATTGCATTTGTCATTAATGCATCGCTAATTTTTTTAGGCTTGCTCCAATTCAGCTACCAAGCATAACACTCGAGCCGGAGAATTAATACTACAATTTGTAAACAATAGACACTTGTGGAGATTTATTTTATTACATTACTGCTTTTCCTTATAAACTTGACTACAGTAGTTATTGTGACTATACGTGTGCACACAATAATCACACAAACAGAAACGGAAGACGATAATAATGAAAGAAAACAAAATGTGTCAAAGTATTTCCTTTATTTTTTTAGGTCTGTGATTTTGTAAATTTCAAACGGTCATATTCGATATTTTTCTTTATTTTCATTGTTAATAAACAATATTTGCATATGTAATAAATCCCAAGGGTAATCGTCCAACATCAAATATTTGCAGTCTTACTAATAAACTTCATTAGTTATCAATTGGACCATTCAATTTTCACTTATGCATACACATATAATGAAAAAAGAAACTGAAGAACGATTTATAGAGAGAATAAAATATTGTCCAAAATAATCTTTTTTTCTATGGTTTGTAAGCCCAATTATTTGAAGATTCTGTAAATTTCAAACTGTAAAATTGAAAATAAAAGTTTCTTGATTTAAAGTTTATAAACTCATGATAAACAATATTTAGTCAAGCCTTTTTTTGAAAAATTAAATTTTAAATGTTTTTTTTCTAGAAAAGTTAGAAAAATGAATATATTTCTAACCTTCTGTGAAATTTTGACATTTTAAATAAATCTAAACAATGTATTTGGTAGCAGGCTACACATATTACCATGACAATTCAGATTTACATTAAGGGGGCTCGAGGGTATAAATTTTTTTTTTAATATAGGAATCTGCTATTTTTTTTTCAATAAATCGTCGCTGGGCTTCCAAAATGTCGTATATAACTTTTTTGGCTAAAACTACTTTTTGACATAAATCGTCTTGGCAGGAGAAAATCTTTGATATTCAAAAGTATCACACAGTTAGACCAATCAAAACATTTGAAATAAACCATGTTACAAAGTTGCCAATCTTAGTTGTTTGTAAAGTTTGCTTCCAAAATGTTGTATGAAAACTTGAAAATTGTAAGGAATCAAATACTTTTACATGTCTTTAGTTCTGTGAAAATAAATTAAGTTTTAGGATAATCCAGAAATGTTAAAGTTTTTATTTCACTGCCTTTTACAAAAATGTTCCAAGTTCACAAACGACATTTTGGAAGCATGCATTTCGACCAAATTTTCAAAGCCAGTTTGTGAGATATTTTTTTTGGGAACAATTTGTGATTTACAACATTTTGGAAGCCCAGCAACGAAATGAACTTTATCATATACTTAATAGAAAAATAAAATGAAAAGGGGGTCACCGTTCATTTGAGCACACAATCCGCCTTCGAAAGAAGCATGCATTTTTGTTAAGGTACTTTTTTCTGTTGAACTAATAGAAGAAATTGAGGTTATATCGAAATGAAAAAAGAACTAAATTACAGAAATCGCATAAATTTTATAATTGTTTAGTTAAAAGTACAGCTTATTTGAAAAAAATAAAAATAAGAATAAAAAAAAAAATAGGTCATCGATGAGTTAAAAAAGATATTTCAATATTAATGCAAAAAATGGCATTTTTGCACCAAAGGGAGATAATTTGGAGCTTTTTAAATGATATAAAGTTTTTAAAAGAGGGGTGAAAGATACCAGAGGAGCAGTCAAACTCATAAATCGAAAATAAACTGACAACGCCATGGCTAAAAATGAAAAAGACAAACAGACAAATAATAGTACACAAGAAACAACATAGACAACTAAAGACTGAGCAACACGAACCCCAACAAAACCTGGGGGTGATCTCAGGTGCTCCGGAAGGGTAAGCAGACCCTTAAAGTCAACTGGGGCCAAAACGAATTGATGTTTTTTGTTGTTTTTGTACCATATAATAAAGTAACAACTAATAGTGTAATAAGTAAAATTTGTAGTGATAATAATAATGTTTAAATTTTGGTTGAAATTTGTATACCCTGGAGCCTCCTTAAACTATTGAGATCTTTTGTAAACACGATTTTGACAGAACGAACAAATTTTCTAGATGAATTATTGGGATTTCACAAAAAGTTGCATACATAGATATGAATCAGACATCAAATATATTATGCATGTTTTAATGGTTGCATTACTAACTGTAGTAGGATTATTTGCATTCAGTAAAAAGTCGCATTATTTCCGAATTTAAAGTATTCAAAACCTGTTCACATTGAGAATGCCCTGAACATATAATGCTATTGGGAATTAAAACAAAAAATCCTGTAGGAACCTGTGTCCGTCAGGGGTAAATAAAACAACACATTAAACTTGAGGAAAACCGACGTGTTTTAAGCCTAATAATACCTCTTTCGATTAAAATAAAAATTGTATACTCCATATGCCTTGCTCATTCTTTGAAAGATATCAATAAACGTAGTTTTAAATCGCCATTATATATGTTAAATGTAATTTTATCAGATAAAGCTTAACAAAAACGATACAATTTAATTTGCTTGTATACTTTTTAGTTTTGTTTATTTTCAGAGAGTTCCCAAATTTAGTGATAAATTTTCTTTATTATCAACCCTACGAGAATCATCCATATTAATTTGGTTATAATAATCCCCAACTTATTCAGATAATTTATGTTTCTTCCAGACGCAGAAGCGTGTGTTTCTATGCAACCATGTCAAGAAAACAGAAAAACCTGTTTGTTGCATCGGCAAACATATTTATTTAAAACATCAACAACAGAGAATGTCTCTCCCTTAAGGAACACAAACACAGACGATAAGCCTCAGGTAAGATGTCTACATTTTTCTGAATAAATAACCCTGTTTAAAATGTATCAAGCGACTTACTATTGTGTCTATTGTAAATCTTTGATCGTATCTATTAAGTCTTTTACGACTTTGTAAGTACTTTCACGTAAACACATACATTTTTTTTTCATGAAAAATTACACATAACGTTTTCCGTTCAAATTGTTTTCATCTGAATTGTATAATGTAGACTGTTGCTCCTGAACCGACTTCATTGTTTCCGATAAAAAAATTAATAAACTTTTGTATTTTGTAGCAAAGTAAGAAGAAATTACGTATTCTTAAAAAAGTCCGTACACAGGATTGGAAAGGAAATGCTTTTCCAAAAGGTAATACTTGTCATCTTCTTTATAATCATTGTAGATATTTTTGTTTATATGGAGCAGATTTAATAGCAAAATATAACGGATAAAACAATTATGATATAATATGTCAGTCCTAATAGCTATTTCTTAGACATGCAAGTATTTACAACTTCGTTCATTACAATATGATATGTCTATCAGTTCTGGTACAGGCTAATGTTTACATATTTTTTAAACTAGCAAACAGATTGTACTTAGATAGGGAGAGATTGCTTGATGACATTGAATCTGATATAGCTGGATGGGACATAACTGTCATGGGTTTGAAAACAAGCCTCATATTCAGGACGTATCAAAAAGGTCATACGTCCTTCAGGTTTATATATATATCTTTTCCGTTCAAACATGACTGCAGTTATTATTAATTATGTACACTATATCAATCAACACGTTAATAACCCATTGGTACAATAAGAGAAAAGAGCAATTGTTTTAGAAAATAATCTGTCATGTGTTCGACATTACTGTTAAAGTCTGTAAGCCAAATTACAGGAATGTAAACATAACATACGGTCAAATATCAAACTATGTGAATATGCAGGTATCAGCACGGTTTTGCATGAATCAAACAAACGAAATGTTTTCTAATAAAAGAAATCAATATGTAAACTGAACGCATGAATTTTGGGCAGGTTGATTAGTTGTTGTCAATAACTTTAGATTTAGGCAATCACTATATTCATAGACTTTCAATTTAACTTTAACATTATATTTCTACTTAGCTTTTAAAATTGTACATTTGAGACATTTGGATAGAACATATGTGCATATACACACAACATTGTACGCCTATAGATGTTTTGGTTGCTTTTAATGGTAACGCAACACTTACATGACAAATCATAATCTTTATCCTTATACATAAAATGCCGTCAACAAAACTGTAGTCGATCATGTATTGGCTAGTATCTTTTCTATCGTGTAAATATAAGAGGAATGTAAACGGGAGAAAATTGTTGCTGTAACCTATCACAAAAAGTGCAAAAAATATCTGGATTTACAGGTCATTCGTCATAAGAAATACCTTAATGTTCTTGTGCATCTGTTTGTGTAATAATATTCACAAATACAAAGAAAAAAAAACAAACTTTATCTTTGATTTTTTTCTTGTTGACTAAAAAGTCTATTAACCATTGCTCAAACCCAAAGCATATTTTTTTCAATTTTAGATTATTAATCAATTAACGCTATAATAAAGACTACTATCATTATTAAGTATTGATTTCGTGATGAATTATCAATCTAAATATTTCAGTAAGAACATCACCTTCAGTCGTAGAAGCGTGTCCTCCTCTACAGCAATTGCACGAACATGAATATGAACATCGGCAGAAACCCTCAACACAGGAAGATAATGCATATGGCTTTTCAAACATGACGAATGCCAACACATTTGAGAAGCTTAAACGCAGATGTCTACACGGTGTTCATACTACTTGCGGACAAGTTAGCTCCCAAGTAGAATGTACGATGACAACTGAAAATAGGCAAATAAATCAAAGCAGCAATATACCTTTAGATTTCAATACCAAAAACAAGGTAATTGTTTTTCCATTTTGTTAAAATTCCCCAAAATAAAGGAATTAAGACAGATACAACCTATGTCAGTATCAACTTAGTGTAAGCTTAACTATAGAAAAATAGCAGTTGAGAATTTTTATCCTCAAATATATATCAACGGAAATTAAATCTGAATTTAAAACCAAGTTACTTTCAGAAGATAAAACAAAAAGTAAAAATAGTTATCAAAGGTACCAGGATTATAATTTAATACGCCAGACGCGCGTTTCGTCTGCATAAGACTCATCAGTGACGCTCATATCAAAATAGTGATAAAGCCAAACAAGTACAAAGTTGAAGAGCATTGAGGACCGAAAATAACTGATGTCCGTTAACCTCATTCAACAGTTACGAGTAATTAAGTACAACCTTGTGTCAAGCATTTTCATTTTTAATAGTTACAATTACTGTAGTAATATAGCTTTAAATACTCGAACACTCCAACCATGACTTACGGCCATATTTGATCTACTTCCGACCTGCAGTAAAACCCTACAACGTAGGACATCCGTTTAGTTGTGCAGAAGGTGTTTATACACAGTCCCGTACAGTCAGAATTAACACACGTTATTCGGATGTCTCATGTGAGCACGCTTACATCAACATTTTGAGAGGTTTGCAAGAGGATTGTCGCAAGAGTTATTTTGCAGACAATGAAGTATAATTGTTCGGAACAAAATACATTGAAGCTATTTGATAATTTTTGATAAGCTGAATAGATTAGGATTGTCCTCAATCTTCTGAATGGACTATCATATTTGAAACGCAACAAGTTGGATTGTGTTTTTGGCGGAACTTTGATAGTATATATTTGATCTTTTCACAACTTTGTCAGTACCTAGACATAAAAACAAAAACGTGTTTAAATGATAGGATATGTAGATTATCGGCTCTGATTACAGAATGTATTATAAACAACATTGCATTAACTGTTGTACTTTGTAGCGGTGCACGATGAATCCAGGTATTCTAACAGAACTCCTAACACAAGATTGTATAGTTGATGTTTATCAAAAAGGTAATACTTGTCAACTACGTTGTCGTTATTCGTTGCTGCAATCAACGATTTTATGGAGTAAATTATACGATTTCAACGATAGCATAATATCTCAGTGCTAATTGGTATCTCGTAAACATTCAAGTATTTACGGATATGATTTGTCTAACAGTCCAGGCTTATGCTTACATATGTCGTACGTAATATTAAAGATGGTACGTAGATAGTGATACATACTTGGATACGTTGAAATTGAATTTAAGTTTCGTTATTGTTGGTTTGAACATAATAGTCATGTGGAAGAAAACAAGGTACGATGTCTTTTCACGTTCATCAGTTTATTTACAGTAAATTCATGACTGCATATATTATTTATACAGGGCACTTTACTGTCTCACACGACAATACTACAAAAAGAGAAAAAGAGATGAAATAAGAATCTGTCGTTTGTTCGAAGTTCGTTTTTTTTAAATGTCTGTTGGTCAAATTATCTACACTTACCTTTTTTTCAAATATTTCACACACTTCTTTCTTATCTGAAATAGAGCCTTAAAAGTCACTGCATGACTTTAATAATTGTCATCTTACCATAACCCTTGTTTTGTGACATGAAATGCATAAAACCTGTATCAAGCTTCTCTGATAACAAATTGAAAGCATTTCATAATACAGTAAAAGAACAGTTCGATAGTAAGTCATTCTATTTTTAAGATTATAGAAGGTATCCAATCCTCTCTGTATCTAGTCTAAATCTTACTGTTTGCTCATTTATCTTTAAAAGTTACCAATTTTTTCCTCAAATGGTCAGTTAAGAAATTGTGTCACAATTATTTAAAATATCTTACCATATATCTAACATAATTTGGCTAGCATATGAATAAGTAGTGTTCAAACAAAGCCATACTTTCTTGCAAAAGTTGTAAGTATAAAGTTTCCAGTTTGATATATAAATCAATTATATAAGTTTTATAGAACTGCATGCATAACTTTATATCAAGGTTTTTGTTTTCTATTCAAAAGACCTTCATAACAATAAAATCGTAGCCTTGACCGGTCAAATGATCTGTTTTTTGTTGTTTTTTTTTGTCTCTGGAACCTAAAATTTTCTTGATAATTCTGTTGTTTTTTTGTGAATATAGTATATACAGTATATGTTTAGGAAAGAACACACTATGTTAGTTTCATAGAGGTATTCTTGTATCTCTAGCTTGTATTCTCTAATGCCGCGTTCATAAAAAAAGCACAGTTGGTGTTACGGCTTACTAAAACACCAAAAAACAACACCAATGTTCATAAAAGATCAATGAGTTTTGATGAACATTATGAATATGAAGAATAACTGTTATTAATTATTAACAATCTAAATTACATATATGCATATATTATGAATTGTCTTTGCATGCTGTTAACTGAGAAATAGGCTGAGTCATCATATTTAAGACACAACACTCTCTCAATCTTCAGGAAATATTTATAAAACTATATATTTGAGTCAATTTCATTAAAATCTATAAAAATAAACCAGATTTGGTGAAGTTTTACATTTTCAATTTAGGTTTCACTTTTCTAAATAAATTAAGACACTGCAATTTCCTCTTTACGGATAAAATTATCTCTTTAAAGTTTCGTAAAGAACTGTATCCTAGAACAGACATTTCTGCAGTATTATTTTTCAAAGGTGATAACAAAGGACTGTGCGTATTATTTTCACTATTTATATGCCTTGAATTTCTATTAGTTGAAAGGTATACTTCAAATCTGTATTAACCCTCACCTTCATTTGGATCTTCCTATGAGTTTAATTTGACTGCTTTTCATGAGTATTCATACTTATGTCTAGTAAAATTCCCAAAGTGTGTCTCTATGACATATGAAACATAAAGATCACATCTGGGAACCAGCAGGTAAATGTGTAAATAACAAACAGTTGCATCAAAGTGTGCCACTTTAGAGCTACTCATGTTTTTTTGCAGGTATAGAACAAAATCAATTTTTTCTGACAAAAAAAGAAACAAAACATTTTGGACATAATCATAAATGTTTGTCAATTTACTTTTGTTAGGTCAATAAATATAAGCATAAAGTTTCAGATTCACTTTCAAGATACATTTTTACTTAGGATTCAAACATGTACATCTAATACTGTTTTGATAGAAAAACACTTCTGTTAAACACATTAGATCGCACGATTATTGACATTTTAAGCTTATTTTAAGTGCACCATGACGTCATGTTGGCTTCAAAAAATCGTCAGCCGACCATTTATTGATCCCTACCTATATCTTCGTGGAAATATAAGAAACAATAACTTGAGAACCATGTTGGTGTTATATATCCGTAGAAGTACAATAAACATAAGTTAGCTATTATAAGTCATATAAATCTTCAGCTTAAAAAAAATGAAATGTTATACATACTTGAATGGCTTAGTTTTCGTTTAAAAACAAATTCACATGAAACTTCTTGTAAACAGAAATCGTTTATATTACAAAAAATGTCATAAATGTTCTTCTCATACTCTAATTCGCAAATATTTACCAGTATGCAAAGACCTTAACAACGAGAACTTTTGTTTGAATTTCGGTTACCGCACAGCGCAAGTGCGAGTTAAAAACCGTGATAACAGAATGTGAAAAAAAACCCAGCGTACAAGTAGGTAAATAGTAATAACTGTTTTAAAAGAACAAATTTATTACACCAAATCTAATAATAAACTGTAGACACAGAGATATATTTCGCCTGTCGTCATAAAATTTAAAAAAAATAATCTGATGGTCAGCAACATAATTTATTAATTTAGTCAATAAAGTATTATCTAGTGAGCACGTAATAATCGTCAAACCATGGTCAATATAATACTTCCATGGTCAAACAGATATTTTCATACTTTAAGCGTAACTACCAGTTTCAATTCATTAACTAATTTACTTTATTAAAAAGACTATTTAAATTAACCAACATTGTTTCATAATGAATAAACAATATAACTATTTCAGTAAAAACCTCCCTTCTGTTGTAGAATTATGCTCTCCTGGGCATCTATGGAAAAAACATGGATACGAAGATGCGCAGAAACCGTCAACAACAGAAAAAGATGCATATCCCGTATCAAATGCCGACACATTTGATAAGCATAAGAAAAAATGTCTACACAGGGAGCAAACTACTTGTGAAAAAGTCAGTTTAACAATGGAACGTTCGAATAGTACTGTAAATGGACAAATAATTCAAAGCAGCATCAATCATTTGAATCTCAAAATCAAAAACAATGACAATCTGTTTACTTTTTGTCAAAGCAAACCACAGTCAACCAATGGATGCAGTTACAGGCTATGGTATTATCAATTTAGTGTACGTATGCTTTATCAATAGCGATATAACAGTTGAGTGTATTTTCATTCAGTAGTAAAGTAAGACTTAAAGAATAAAGGGAGAAACCGGTTTAAAACCAAGTAAAATGCAATTACTGATGTTTTAAAACCACGTAGACCAATACATGACTAAGAAGCATTAATATACAATAAATCTTTTACCATATCAAAATAATATATGGTGTTGTTGCCAATGAGACATTTATGTTAATATAAAAGTAATACAAACAATGTTGCAGTAGTAACCCGCTATCAATTCTCAATTACTACATGTCTAAGGACGACTAGAGAAATATGGTCACTTATGGTTTACTTCCGACCGTCACAAAACCCTTTTAAATATGGGACGTCCATTTTTTTTTATCGGGATGAATAAATATACAGCCACAGCCGGTCAAACCATAACTGTTTTCGTTTAAATTGTTCTAATAAATATATAATGTAGATTGTCGCTTATGTACTGATTACATTAAGTCCTATTGAAAACTCTGCATACATTTCTATACTTTGTAGCAGTTTAGAAGGACACCAGGTATTATAACAGAAGTTCTCACACTCGATTGGACAGGTAATGTTTATCTAAAAGAAATTACTGGTCATCTAACAACAATTAACTTCTAGGCAACGTTGCAAGGAATTTTTATTTTTTCATATACGAAAAAAAAGGTTTTTATTCAAGATATGTAATATACCGAATTACAGACATCGAAATAAAAAAGCATATATATAATATATGCATAAATAGACCATAACACAACTCATCCGAAAAATTATAGTAATTGAACTTAAATTGAACGCAAACACATAATTCCTTATGCCATAAAAAGAAAAGAAGATTTCTTGTATCTGTGCACATTTATTGCTACGAATACCACTGAAAAAATTAGAATATTCACTTATGTACGATTTGAATGCTGCAATTATGTAAACAATTGAGATGGCTTAATGTGGACATCATACAGATTCATGGCACACATGGTATGGGTGCAAAACAGTTCATACATCTGAGCGCGTAAGAACCATCATGACATTGCATAAAAGGCCTTAGAGTTATGTGTCAAAGGAAAACAGTCGAAATTTACCATTCAAATGGTACTGGCAATAAAGGAGATAGAATGCATATCTGCAAACAACTAGCATATGTGCAATCCTAATCGTCACAAGCAAAAGTATGTTTGTCATGCCACATTCTTTGCCAAAAAAAAAAAACAAAACAAACAAAGCATCGTCGGTCAGTTCAGTCATTGTTTAGGTACACGTATGACTGCTGAACAGCTATTGAAAACTTGACAAATCGGACTGACTTGAAGGGTATACTTTGACATAGATGTTTTATGCGCACATTTGTCTAGAACAGTTGCAATATAATCATTTAAAACCCGAGTCGAATAGAGGTGCCAATTCATGGCAGTGAGGTCAACAAGCTAGTAACTACTTATACTGTGAATGGATTTCTTAGACCCCTATACCATCGAGCAAAAAATACAATCACAAAAATACCGAACTCCTAGGAAAATTCAAAACGGAAAGTCCCTTATCAAATGGCAAAACCAAAAGCTCAAACACATCAAACGAGTGGATAACAACTGTCATATTCCTGACTTGGTGCAGGCATTTTCTTATGTAGAAAATGGTGGATTAAACCTGGTTTTATTCATAGCTAAACCTCTCACTTGTATGACAGTCGCATACAATTCCATTATATTGACAACAATGTGCCAACAAAACAAACAATTTGTAGTTTATTTATAAAAAAAACATGTGTTGAAAGATATATTTAAAAGTTCAGATCTTTTTTCGGATATTTTTCCTATGCATGGATAACGATGTGTACTCATATATCTTGTATCTTTCAAATGACTGGTTATCTTCTGTTAAAAATCCAAGGCCAATGTTACCAGACTTGGGGTTATTGTAATTGTAATCATTAATCAGCTGTAATTGATTACAATTTTTCAAGTAATCATTGTAATCATTAATCAGCCAAGAATCTGATTACATGTAATTTAATTTAATCAATTACTTTTCAAGATACCCTGTAATCCTGATTACTTTTTGATTACATTCTGAATACAATGAAGAAAAAAAATCTAAAATTAGGTTAATGGTCAATATGGCATGCCTTAAATGAAACTTTTTCTTATTCGTATTTAATAAATGTTTAACTTGTTAAAATAGTTTTGTTTAATTTAAGCATGTTTATTGATGCATTAACTTCAGTGAAAAAAATGTTACAGTATTGAAAGTCAACATTATATGTACATTTGATAATGAATGTAACTTTCAAGTAATACTTTCTTCAACCCTAAATTATAATCCTTTGTTAATATTGTGATTATTGTCACTTTTGAATTGACATTCTAGAAGACCAATTAAGGTCTGTTTTCATTGCAATTACCAATTGTATGTATCTGTAGGACAAAATATATTTGATAAAAGAAAACTTAGACATATGAAAATTTATATAATTAACACCTATAAAAGGTGTGACAAATATGTTGTTTAAAATAAACAAATGTTGGTATATTTATGGGCATGTAAATTGCAAGGATTTTTAATACTTATATTTTGTTTAGAATTTTTTAAACAATTCTATCACAATTGTAGAAATGTTTTTAACTGGTAACTTTATTTCTGTCATATTCTAACTTCCCATGACTGCACCCTGAAATACATATAAAGTCTGGAAGATCCGAGAAAGACAAAAACCAATCTTCTTTACAAACTTTCATTCGGCTGAAGTCCACATAATTCAGAGATTAATGTGGTAAAGAGTAATGGTTCCTAACTAGTGACAAAATGTTCATGTATATATGTTGTGAATCTTTGTGGTTTACTAAATTGACGAAGTTTGAAGTTATTATTCAATAACGTAACAAAAAAAATCCTTTCTCAAAAAGTGCTAGTTACATGAAACCTTTATTTATTTCCATCATTCAAATGGGTTATTTGAAATTCATTGTAATCAAATGTAATCATGATTACTTGCCAATGAAATAATTAATTTAATCATTTATTTTGAGAAATGATGTTATCATTAATTAAATTTAATCGTAAAATTGACACAGTAATTGGAATTTAATCAATTACATTGAAAGTAATCGGACCAATCTCTGAATGGTACATGCATATTCAGGAAGATAAAAGGTTCGAGTGGTACAGGAAGATAAAAGGTTCGAGTGGTACATGTATACAAATTAACACCTCTGTGTAGAAGGTCGACACACAACCTCTGATTTCAATATCCTAGTTAAAAAGCTTCAGGAAGTTCTACCGTAAAACAGTGGCTTAGATCAAAATAACAAATGCAAAAATTCATTGGCTATAAAGTCTGATCATTTAAAACCCAATACAGATACTTTCACTGTCTCAAATGTATAAAAACAATGCCCCAGTCTGTAGTTATATATGATGCCATTTATTCTATCCATGCATTCATAACAACGATATGTTAATAATTATTCTTTTTTTTAGTTTTCAGAGTAAGGACCTTTCAAAACAATCAACTTTTACAGACGTCAGTTGGACTTTCAATGCATTTGTTTAATGAAGGATTCAGACAATCGGACGTTGAGGACTTATGTGAAGTAGTTGTTTCCTAGGCTGGTATTTTTGATTTGGCATCTGTCAGCCGCGTATGCCAAATCAAAAATACCTTGCCAATTGAAGAAGACAGAAACTGTATACATATCATAGCGTTACCATCAGGACAGAAAGACACTGTAAAGGAGTTTCTTTTCAAATGGCCAGCCATTGTTGATTTGTCATCTGCCGCTGCAGAGCGCCAAATCATCAATCCTGGTCCAGGAAAGGTGATTCCTGCAAATAGCATGAGACTACGCTGCCAAATAGTCCAGTTAGGGAGAAGTTTGAATTACTTTAGCAAACTGATTGCTTTCTTACCTCAAGGAACAAAGCAAGCTGTCTGTTACGGTAACGATCTAGTTGTTATTAGTCCAGAGTGTGAAAATGTAACATGCACTCAAAACGACTGCGTTGTTATCTGTGAACGTGGAAAATCAATCTGGTGTTACAAAAACTCTCTTGCTATTTGCAGTGTCAAGTGTGACAACGTTTTACTCGAAAACAACGAAATTCAGGTTTCAGTCGATAACAGTTTTGACCATCAGAGCTTTATCAACCAGAATTTTGGACTTGTCCTGTAGTAAAATGGTTTTCAGACTATGATATATTCAAATATTCACTAGGATCCTATGTTGTTATGCAATAGTTTTATTGAAATTCATCTTGTATGTTTGTTTATACAAATGACCCTGTTTCTGTGAAAAAGCATTACAGGATTACGTTGGAGTAAAGGTTCTAGTAGTTGAACATTTAATCAGTAATATATATATATATATTTACAGATCTAGCATTGTTGGGCTGATGTTTAGACGAGTTGTGTATATATATATATATATATATATATATATATATATATATATATATTTATAATGATATAAATTGAAATATGTTTTATGATATAAATTGAAATATGTATTGATTAAAACAAAATTTAATTCAATTATCTGTTGTTGTTTTTCATTTTTATTTCATTTGAAGTAAAAAATGAGAGAAAAATTTTGAAGCTAAATTATAGTATATTTGTATAGATCTAAATAAAAATCATACTGATGTAAATGAGCAATGCACATATAACTAATCCTTTTAGACTAAAAAAAGAAAGTCCGGAACTGATTGAAAATCTTTCTGGTGTGATATAAAATCTATTGCTAAATGTAGTTTCCAGTGTGTACATTCTAACCTGAATAATGATATCAAGGAATAAGTATAAGACCGATTCGTCGTCGGCAAAATTGTGTGTGTTTTTTTATGAAATGGCTAGATGGTAAATACTAAGTTGGAAAAGACGGCTGCATTATTTAGGCAAACGTTTTGGGATATATGCGTTAATGCCCCTATTTATATCTAGATAACATGTCTATTATTTTAAGATGAAAAGTAAACCAATACGACGAATGAAAAAGGCTCGGTAAAATGTAAATATAATCAAATTTGTATCAACAAGCATATTATTATAAAATTGTTATGTAACTGCATGCAGTATCTCTTTTCGGTTGTGAATACCAATCGCAATCGACCGTTTTTTATTGAATTTGGTGAAAAGCGAAATTGATGCTAATTTTTGTGAAGAACGTTGGTATGTTAATTTTGAAAATTAGACATATTTCTTATCTTTTGATTGTTATAATTATGCTTCAATGTGATCAAGGTAAGTACAGAATGGTTCGAATTTTAGCTATGAATAAGGGCCATGTTGAAATCTTGAATATTTGTGTCGTTATGTTTTTAAATAACCATACCAACATCCCCCAAACATGAATCCCCCTTTTTTAAGACATTTATTATCTAATGAATGGTCAATCCTCAGATGATGGTGTTTAAGAATAGTCAGACCTTGTTTACGTTTCAAAAGTTGCATCGGGTTATCATTGTTGTCCATTTCACGGCAAATTGAATGTTTTAGTCTAAAAAAGAAACACTTGATTTTTAAATTTTATTCAATTTGCAGAAAACGATTACTGGTATAAACTATCTATCACAGTGTTGTTTCCCTGTGCCGTTTTCAATCAAATCAAAATATAATATAACAAATGACAGGACATGTCGGTCAAACGACAGCAACAAAAACACTTTCGACACAGAGTTAGAATAGGATTTCTTTAAGAAGTAACAGGGTTCCGGCAAGTTGCAGGGTTTTTACAGGGTTCCGGCAAGTTACAAATCATACTTCCGCAGATACATTTGTCTGTTACAAAGTATGGTAAGTGCTCTAGGTGTCACTTCCTATATACAAGGTGATATTAGTGCCTCTGGAATAGTTCACCTTTTCAAGCTTGAAAATATGTGAATTGGTCGGGAAAACTATCAGACATATATGATAAGGTCCAGAAAGTCCCCATAATTTCTGTCATCTTTCTTGGAGTTCCCGGTTTTGTGTTTATCAACCAATTTTCTCTCTTTTGACACTTTGGTATTCAACTCTTATAGTTTACACACCACATGAAATCCAAACAATATGGTAAAGGTAACATTTTTACCTACGCAATATATGAAAAGGTATACATTTTTAATCGCAATCAGTGAAAAGGGTGGGGTAACCGAACCACAGCGGCACCCCTTATCAATTAAGTATTGAAGAGTAAGTGTTATAGAGTTATAAGTCTGATTATATATATATATATCACATTCACTGCCACTTTAGAAAAACTGTCTTTAAAGATTAGATTGACAATTTCTGTAATGTGATGGATGTCTTTAAAAAAAAAAGCTTTCGAATATTATATTATATATTAAATATTTAACACTGATTATGCCTTTTTAATCAAAGAATTTATTTATTTTATTGTCAAGCTATTCTTTTTTGTTTGATCCTTTATATACCGTATAGTTAATGCAAATGAAATGAGTAGCTTAGTCACTAAAATTAGACGATCCTTATAAGTACAAAAAAGCTATTGGTCTATCTACAATTTTAATATTACGTAGATAAGCTAAGTTTCAACTCATAAAGTGTCTAGAATGTGTATTCATATTTTATTTGCTTCTTTCTCCAATACACTGATGATATCTTTCTCTTTTGGTCGACCCTTGATGAAGTTAACTACCGTACAAAAAACAACAAAACAAACATCCCCGCCACCTACCCCCCTTAAAGAAAATAGAAATAATAAAAAAAAAAAATAACCGTGAGAATCTTGCTGCGGGACGAAAGACAAAAATACCGACTACAGCTTTAGACAACCAAACATCTAAAAGATTTTAGTAATCGTCGTCAAATGCACATGTATGCTATAAATATATAGCACGCCTTTTACGAATTAACGTATTTAATTCACTAAAAAAAGGAGCTTTGAGTGGATTACATATGTTAATGAGTAAGGCATGGCTATATATGATTTGTAACATTAATGGACACATGTCAAAGGTTAAATGCTGACAAATAAAACGTTAACTTGACTGTACTTTTGAATATGTCAATCAAATATAGTGGCGTGATACTGCATTTGTATATCTGATTTCCAGAAAATTAATTCATATGCAGATGTCAGTTGTATGTGTATGTCAGATCAAGAAGGTTGTAAAAGAAATCCCAAACAACTTCCTTGGTCAGATAAAGGTACATTTTAAGGAATTGTTGCCGTGGGATTCAGACTCGAAAGCAACCAATAAAGAACAAACAAACAAAAATCAATATGCATAGTAAAACTCATTTTAAAAAGAATCCAATGTCAAAATAGGTAACAGGAGAAACTAAGAGAACTGAGTATGATACATAAATTAACAAAGGACTACTAGCAGTTACTGACATGCCAGCTCTAGATCCAAATTAAACTGATTGAAAGATTATGTCTTCCTCATATCAAAATTAAGCACAATCCCTCCCGTTAGGGGTTAAGTATCATTTATGTACAATCATGAAATATATGAGAAGAACATAACCTGTAAAATTCATTTAAATCTCAATATACTGTAAATTCATAAATTATTGCGAGGTTTTTATTATTGGAAATAATGCCACTATATGAGTATGGCGATAATAAGAACTCGCATTTTGAAAGCTAAAACATAGATCTGTATATAATAGATTTTTCTGAAAGCGAAATAATTAAACTCGCATTCTTGTCTGCTTTTTTTTGGATAAATCGCAATAATAAATCACGCAATAATTTCTGAAATAACAGTAGTTTGAGCCGTGCGTAAGTGTCAATGATCACACCACGATCTCTAAGTATAAATTATAATGCACGTGCATATTTCTTAAGCCATTAGGTCGTTCTTGGCTAATAGACTATTTTCATATTACCGACTTTTGACTCTGATCATATAATTTTTCGACGAGTTACCTATTCTTCAATAAGACATTCTCGTAAATGTACTCGGTCAAGTAAGAGCAACGGAAATAAGTAAAGTCAAATATAAAATCGCAGCATTATTTGAGGAAAATTTCTGTTTTCCAATGATTTTGTCGTGTATAGGAAAAATTAAACGGTAAATTTCAACCCAATTTTACCGATTGAAAGCTTGATTTAAATGCTTTACGCTGCTTTTATTTGACTCGTTACCAGAATCTCCTACCACATAGAAGGTAACCTGTCGAAAAAATATAAACTCTGGAGTAAAAAGTCGGTAATATGAAAAAAGTCTATTGTGGCACGTAAACAAATTTTAAATTCGCAGTTATTCACACTATTTGAAAGCTGTCATTCTCGACTGGTTACACTTGGCATTAATTAAGACAGTTGTAAGGATATAAAAGAAGTTTAGAAAGTCAAACTAGTTGACTTTCTTAATGCTTTCAGTTACAAATTTCGTTTGGCAGAATATGACCACCTAAACAATTCAGATTTTAAAAATCCGACCGTTTTTGAAGGACAGCATGGTGTTTGTCCTCCCTTTTCAATGTTTCTTTAACTTTTATTGAAAACTGATACTAGTAATTTTAAATTTCATTCAGGAAGTTAAACTTAAGAAATACAATGCTAATTTTATTATTTTGTTGTTCTTTATTTTCAACAGAAGTAAACTGTTTTTTTTTAAACCAGCCTTTGAAGACGAGTTTCTATTTTCTTCGTAATAGTAAAAGCTCAATGATAAGTTAATATTGATATTAAAAGACCTCCCATTTTGAACAGCCGTTTTTGTGAGGATGTCTTTTAATGTCAATATTAACTTAATCATTGAACTTTTACTGACTTACAAACCGTCAAAAACATACGAAATATTCACAAAAAACACTTGCAGAAACCTTATTCCTCTGAAATTGAAGAGTCTAAATATGTTCAACCTAAATGATACATGTAGTTAAACAGTACTCAGACTGATATATACAATTAACAGTAACCAAATTGCAATGGAAATGGAAATGGACAGATCAAATGACAGTATATCATTTAATTATTTATTTATAATAACTTTTTTAGCATTAAATTAACACCAAATGATAGTTTTACAAAATTAGGGGTTAAAGTTATATTTTTGAATCCAACTTTGCAAAATATCGATTTCTTACTAAATAAATGATGCAATCAAAACCATATACAGACCTCATTTACAACTGACCATGAATATTCTGCACAACAAATGAACAACTTCTTGTTATATATATTTGATGTTTTTGATCTGTCGGTAACCATGAAATAGATTCGTAAAGATCAGACCTAAGAGAACAGTAAGTAAACTCTTCCAAAAATTAGCTATTTAGCTTATTTCATAACTTGTAATTGAACAGACCTAGATACATAAGGTCCTTCATGATATTCGTCGGTAAATGTTCGTTTTGTTTTTTATTCTGTAATTTTTCTACACTACGTACATGCGAATGCAAAAATAATTAGTGTTATCTGTTCAGTCCAATTAATTAATAGATCTTGCTTTGTTTGTTTGTTTTTTTTTTTAAAT